ATGATATAAAACAGATAAAAAAAAAAGTATAAATAACTTCCTGTGTTAATAGAACAGTAATAAACACAAAATAAAATAAGTTTATAATTTTTAAAAGTTAATTTTTTAAAAACTGTCTAAACAAATTTTTGAATTTTAAAAACGGGTCTTTTTTTCATATGGGAAAAAATTATTAAAATATGATGTTTTGGAAAAAAATTATAAAAAAATATAAATTTTTTCAAAAATCGACATTTTTGACTAAGTTAATTTTCAAAAATCATCACCGGTGATTTTTTATTTTTAAAATCTTTTATTATTTTCTAAAAAATTATCAGTGATGATTTTTGATTTTATAATATATTTTTAAAAAATATCAATGATAATTTTTAAAATTTAATAAATTATTTTATTTTATTTTACATCAAAAATTATCAATAGCAATATATTTTTTTATTTTTTTTTATTTTTTTCAAAAATATCATGTTTAGATATATATATATATATATATATATATATTTAAAATTTCATATATATAAAAAATATTTCTTCAAAAGTTATTAGTAATATTTTTATTATATTCTAATTTTTATTTTTTTTAAAAGATAACTTATTATTTATACAATTAAAATTTAATATGTCTCTTTATCTTTATGGTTGTATTTTTTATATATATTTTTATTATTAATAATTAATATTTTAAAAATTAAAAAATATATTATTTAAATTAAGTCATATAATCTTTATTGGTATAATATGTGAAAATTAATAATTTTAAATATAAATTTAAGTTATTACTTAAATTAATAATATGATTTTTATTAATAAAATATATTATATTTATTTTTTTTAAACTAAAAAAGGAGGCTTGAAGCTTAATCAAACAACTAGAATCTAATGCTCCTGGGGTTAGAGGCATCCAAACACATAAATGGTAATAAGGGAGAAGGGGAATGATCTAGCCAAATACAAGAGCCATAACACTTAACTCCAAACTTTGCAAGTTAATCAACATATTGATTGGTTTCTCTACAGGCAAAGTTAAATCTAACAAAATTAATTTGTTTTAACAGAGATCTAATGTTAGAAATCAGAAAGAAAAACTTATGAGTATTGGAAGGAACACTCAAAATAAGTTGAAGAGCATCTTTAGAATCTTCATCAATCCAAATGCAGCTGATTTGTTTTTGAGTGACCAGGGTAACACCCTAAAAAAGAGCCCACAACTCAACTTCCAAAGGAGTACACAAGGGAGTGCTGCCATGAAACCCAGTAATAAAAGTCCCTCTATCATTCCGAATAAGGCCTCTAAAACCAGCTATTCTGCTATTTGCCTTAACCGATCCATCCACATTCAATTTAAGTTGATCATTACTGGAAGGAACCCATTTGACCCTAGCATGCTGCACCAAAAATCCAGAAAATTCAGAAACAGAATTAGTGCTATGTTGATGACAATAATTGAAATAGTTAAAATTTCAAATAATTTTACGAACTAGCTAATTAAGAAGAACAAAAAAAATGGTGAATGACAAAAGAATTGTGATCCTTCCAAATATGTTAAACCACAAAGCGAAAAAGTCTATTCCATTCAGAAAATTTGCTATGATGCTTGTTAGATAAGTTGTTGCTGATCCAGTAATCAAAACTGCAACTAAAGAAACTAGCCCAATTAGTAGGAAACATAAAATGACTCCAAACTTGCCTAACATAGGGGCAATCACGAAGAACATGTGCCAAGGACTCAGAATCTTCACCACACCTAGGACAATCAGGGGTAGGAGCCATACCCCTATTTAATCTCTCCAAATTTGTCACCAATTTACCGTGACCAATTTTTCATAAAAACAAGTTAATTTTAGGAGGGCCCTTTCACTTCCAAATCATGTTAAACACCTAACTATAAGAATGCTAATTCAAAAAGGGATCAAGGGCTATAGAATTTAGGAAAAAATTACCATTGCTATTTAAATTCTAGAAAAATAAGTTCTGACCCGCAACCAGCAAAGAGGGATTCATCTTATTAATTAAATTATTTATAGAATTAGGAAGCTAGTCTTTGAACTTGTCCCACTGCCAAGCGCCTTGGGAAGAGAAAAGGGCTATAGAATTATTCAGATATGCTTCTAGAATAAGAGACAGAGAGTTATTAAAGAGAGAGTGATAGAGGGGGAGCCAAATGTCTGTCTAGAATTTAATAGTGGAACCATCTCCAAGAGTTCAACCCAACCCCTTTGAAAAAATAGGCCAGACTGAGGCTATCCCTCTCCATAAATGGGACACTTTTTTGAGGAAACTAATGCAAGGAGTATGACCTAAATCAAACCTATATTTGCCTCTTATGATCTGGGCTCATAAGTCATCAGGAGAATTAATTAACTTTCAGCAAAACTTTAACAAATAAGTTTTATTAAGAAGTCTAATATCTTTAAAGCCTAAACCACCATACTCCTTAGGTTTACAAATTTTACTCCAACTAATTAAGTGACATTTCCTCTAACCCAGAGATCCTCATATGAAATTTCTACATATTTTGTTAATTTCATCACACAGTGAAGCAGGAAAGACTAAGGCTTGCATTGTGTATGTTGGGATGCTCATAAGGCAGGATTGGGCCAGAGAGACTCTACCTGCCATTGACAGAGAATTCAATTTCCAAGAAGCTAATTTTTTCTTGATTTTATCAATGAGATGAGCAAAATTCTTCCTACTAGGTTTGTGATGGCTGACAAGAATTTCAAGGTAGGTTCCAAATTGAACCTGAGACTTGATCTTAAGTTTATCACAAATAATATTGGAGAGGATATGATCAGTATTTTTAGAAAAAAAAATGGAGAATTTATTAATATTAATATTAAGACCAGAAGTAGAGCAAAAAGATGATAAGACTTTCTGAAAATTCTCCTGTTGCAAGTCAGCTTTAGCAATAAGGAGAATATCATCAGCAAAGAATAGATGAAATAACTTGGGGCCAAATCCACCAAAAGAAAAGAGGATATAATCCTTATTAAAAACTTCATCCTAAATTAAGTGAGCAAACCTTTCATGACATAAAACAAAGAGATAGGAAGAAAAAGGATCTCCTAGTCTGATTCCTCTAAAAGATCTAAAAAATTTAGAAGGTTTATTATTTCAATTTAGGTACATAGAAGAGGATGAAATGCAATCATATATGAGATTAGACAAAGAAGAATCAAAACCAACCTTAATAAGAATATCTAAAATAAAATTCTACCTAAATTTGTCATAAGCTTTTTCTAAATCTAATTTTAAAATCATAAAAGCATACATGCTCTTAAGAAGGCTAAAGGAATGAAGGAATTCTTGAAGGATAAGGGACTCCCAGGAATAAAACTAGTTTCATTCTTAGAAATCAATAAGAGCAGATAATCTCTTATTCTATTAGCTATAATTTTAGTGAATATTATATCTAATTTTAATGTTATATAAATATAATATTATATATTCTTTTAAATCATTTAACATAAATTTACATATTTCATAAATTATTTATACAATTATAAAGTTCTCATAATAAGTCTATAAATTTTAACTAACTTTATAATTAAAAGTTAAAAACTGACTGCTTTAACTAACTTTATAAATTTTTAAAAAGTATTAAAGTATGATACCGATTTAGGAAGTGAAGAAGGAAATCCATTTATTGGACTGCAACATGTTGTGTCGAGGATGAACCCATTTTACCTAAACATTTATGCACCATCCATTTCACCCACCCCACTCACGCACCCACACAAGGAGTGGATCACACGCACCTCCAAACTTCAACTGTAAACCGAAAATTATTATTATACACTCACTAAATGCATACATTTAATGAGAAATAAAATAATATAATAAAAATAGAGAGTAAAAATAAAATAAAATAAATATCAAAATATAAATATAAATACATGAACATCGCAGTGGTTGTAAATTAAATAATGACCAGATTAGAAGAGAAAAGACAAATAAAAATTATCTTCTTTAAAATACTCATAATTTATTTTATTATCTTTTTTTCACCTCTCTTGTCTCTATTTATAAATTATTTTTTTTGTTTATTTAATTGATAGACTTCTTGTATTTATTTTATTTATCTTTATTATATAGAATTTTTTTTATGTATGTTAAGTATATCTTGACCTATTAATAATATTAACAAGTTTTTTTATCCATATTTAAATAAATATTAATTATATTTACTTTAGGGGTCCATTTAGTAATTAGGATAATAATAAATATGATAATATATTATATATGTTCTTAATCAATTATTTACTTGATAAGCTATTAAATTGTTTTGTTAACTATTTTATTTTGTAATTGTTATTTTGAGAATATGACCAAATTAAAAGAGAAAAGATAAATAACAATTATTTTCTTTAAAATACTCTTAATTTATTCTATTATCTCTTTTTCACCTCTCTTGTCTCTATTTTTATATATTTTTAAAATTAAAAATATATTAAGTTATCTCTATATTTTTGATAAATTAAAAATTAATAACTTATACAAAGTAAAAAAAAAAATTTTAATAAATGTAAACAAAAAATAATTTTATCAATTTTTTACATATTTATAATCCTATTCTCTGAGTGAGGTAACACGTATATAAACTTTATCATACTATTATCCAACCTCCTCATGTTTAACCATCGCATCCTGTGGATCCATCGTAAACCACCAAACGTGCCTAACCGCAATTAACTATATTGCTTTTTACCGTGTTTTCAGTCATACACAATGGAAGTAGAAGCTTTTCTTTTCTGAACCTAATTCATTATTATATGAAGAGAAAAAGGCCAAATCCTATAAAAATTTTAGTGCAGAAAGGATAGGTGTGTCTGTTTGCATATTTAATGTTGTTTGCCAGTGAATAGTGGTAAGATCAACCATTGCCTAGTTAAACGTAAACCCCTAGCTCCATCATAAAAACATGTGGTTGACAGAATGTAAAGGGTCCTTTTCCTTTATGAACGTTGAATCAGTCTCCGAAGTGGGTAAGTAGATCAAATATAAATACTGCTTTGAACAGAGGTTAAGCACAATGGAGACCATGGCAACTTTGGAGAGAGACCTTCGTCTCATGAGGGAGTATTATGAGAGTGGAAAGACAAAAGAAGCGTCTTGGAGAGAATCACAACTCAAAGGGTTGCGTCGTTTCCTCATGGAAAAACAGCAAGATATCATGAACGCCCTCATGCTTGATTTAGGGAAACATCAAATTGAAGCTTTTAGAGACGAGGTTTATCTTTCACATATCTCTTACTACTATATATTACAGCCACAACCCTAAATATTGACAAATTCTTTTGCAGATAGGAACGTTGATGAAGACATTAAATCTTGCACTGAAGTCTTTGAAAGATTGGATGTCCAGCAAAAAGGCAAGATATACGTGTTTGTTCCCTCAAAATATTCACCATGAGAAAATTTTGTTTGAAGCAAAATGGCATGACCCTTTGTGCATACGAACAAACATGTTAATTCTCTAACGATCAAATTAACTTTGATAGGCTCCATTGCCACAAATAGCATTGCTTACTAGTGCAGAAATTGTTCCCGAGCCACTCGGTCTAGTCCTCATTATTTCATCTTGGAATTTTCCCTTTGGTGAGTTATATACTTAGAAACAAAATCAGGTTCATTTTTACGCGACTTTTCAACTATATGAACCAAAGTCAACATCCTCTCGATTTATAAAAACACAGGAATTTCTTTGGAGCCACTGATAGGAGCAGTAGCTGCTGGAAATGCTGCAGTCTTAAAGCCTTCAGAGTTGTCTCCAGCATGTTCTTCTTTTCTTGCTTCTAATCTTCCCACTTACTTGGATAACAAAGCCGTTAGAGTGATCGAAGGAGGACCACAAGAAGCCCAGCAACTACTCCAGCAAAGATGGGACAAGATCTTCTTCACAGGTAAACAAAATAACTTTCTTTCTCTCTTTTTTTAACATGCCAAGATCATCTTCTTCTTCTTCTTCTTCTTCTTCCATTGTTGGAGATTTTGTTAATGTACAAAAAGCAATGTCAGGAAGTGCACGGGTGGGACGGATTGTGATGCATGCTGCCGTGAATCATTTGACACCTGTCACTCTAGAGTTGGGTGGAAAATGCCCTGCAGTTGTTGACTCTCTTTCAGCTTCTTGGGATATAGAGGTGGTTGATTTATTGTAATTAAAATGGAAGAGACTTGGGCACTAATAAGTACTGGTGTAACCCAAAAGTTTCTTTCCGTTTATTAATTAAGTTGATTGTTAATTTTAATTAACAAAATCATGTTTTCTTGTAATTAAAAGGTGGCTACGAAGAGAATTATTGTCGGGAAATATGGGACTTGTGCTGGTCAAGCATGCATAGCAATCGACTATGTCCTAGTAGAAAGGGGGTACTGTTCAAAAGTGGTATACATATGTATAATATATATATCCCTTAACATTTAGATATTTGGGGTTCTCTGTTCTGTGTTTCATAATATGTAGTATTTAATTATTGGAGCATGTGCTTATTCTTGTTTTTATTTTAGGTGGAATTGATGAAGGTCTGGATTAAAAAAATGTTTGGAGAGAACCCATATCATTCCAAAACTATTGCGAGGATAGTTAATATACACCACTTTTTTAGATTGAAGAATCTTCTCGCTGATATAAAGGTCAAAGAATCAGTGGTTTATGGTGGTTCAATGGACGAGGAAAACTTGTATACACTCAATCCTTTCACACTAGATTCTCTAAAATATTTGTACACATTTTCGTTGATGTATATTGGGTCCTACTAATAACTATTTTAAGAATACTGATTAAAAAGTTAATGATAACCCTTTTTTTTTATTGAAAATTACAGTGGAAGTGTATTGAAAATCATGATAAAAGTATATTAACAAAGCTGTTTTAATAAAAAAAGTATTTATTTTTATTTCCTTAAACGATTTTCGTTTGTATTTAGTATTGGTATATGAATTTATAGCATTAATTAATACAAGACGTAATTCCTTTAAAAAGTCAGACAAATTTGGCTGTACAAAATTTACTAAGCAGAGAACAGCGTTATTTGAATCTGCAGATTTATTGAGCCAACAATCTTGGTGGATCCCCCCCTTGATGCAGAAATCATGTCTGAAGAAATTTTTGGCCCATTGCTTCCAATTATTACTGTAAGATTCATGCTCATATCATATATGCCAAAATTTGAATTTCAATATATTATTAGGATCCTACTAATTATAAATAATTTTGTTATTATCATTTATGAGGTGCATATATATATATATATATATATATATATATATATATATATATTCTTATACTTCTAAATAAAAAAATTAATTTTTTAACCAATACTCTATCAATAATGATAACACTTACTATTTCTTATTAGCAGTGCATAAAAGTAACCAAGCTCTTAGTTAGCAGCCTTTAGCATTGGTGCATTAAATATTATTTATATTTTCTCCTACTTGACCAATACTTTTTGGCCCGTTAATACTTTGCAGGTGGAGAAGATTGAGGACAGTATTAAATTCATAAGCTCAAGGCCTAAGCCTCTTGCCCTATATGTTTTCACCAAAAATAAAACACTGCAGAGAAGAATGGTTGCTGAAACATCATCTGGCAGTTTGACTTTCAACGATGCAATTCTACAAGTAGGACTCTATCTATAATAGGGCCCAGATCCTCAGCATTTGTAGCGTTAACTGCACCATGCATTTAGTGTTATTTTTTTCGCTTAAGCGAAATTGAAAAATAACTATGATCCCAGTTCATTTATAGTATTTGAATTTTGATACTTAACAGTAGTGCATGACTTTATTTGTGGTGCAGTATGCGGCGGATAGTCTCCCATTTGGAGGAGTGGGTGAAAGTGGGTTTGGAATGTACCATGGAAAGTTCTCCTTTGACACATTCAGCCACCAAAAGGCAATTGTCAGAAGAAGTTTTCTCACTGATTTTTGGTATAGATACCCTCCATGGACGCTGAATAAGTTTCAACTACTTGAGGTCTCTTACAATTATGATTATCTTGGATTGCTCCTTGTCCTTCTTGGCTTAAAGAGACCCTCAAAACGCTTATCATATTTAGTTAATTAGCTAGCGTGTTACTTGGTCTTTTTATTTTTTTTTTCATTTTAATAGCTGTTATAAGAGTGTCCAATGAAAATAGCTCTTTATGTAAGTGATTAGCATTCATGGATGGGTTTGTGTGTTAAACTTATATTCAGCTTGATCTATCCTTTATTGTGATTCTTGTTCAATGCTACTTTCTCTTTCTCCCATATTATGTACCTCTTTAGTTATTTTGATTTGTCTAAAATATTATTTCTATGCAAAGTGGAGCTTATAATGTGTATGTTTGATGAACAATAGGCTTTGAGCAATTGAATGAAAAATGGGAATGCCAACTTTCTTTAAATTAAAATGACGATTGAAATTTTAAGCGATTTCATTCAATTACGCGATATGTATGCAATATATCTGTAATTTAGAAACTCAAAAAGATACCGACTCCTACAAATTCAAATTCCATGGTTCTCTCTTCCACAATAATATATATATATATATATATATATATATATATAACTCTAAAAACATGACAATTATTAAACCAAAACTAATTAAAATTACCTTCTTCTAATCAAAATTCTCAGAACAAATGAATAGTACAAAGTGATGCATTGTTGAAGTTTATTAACTGCTCATTTTTATTGCAGCGGGAACTAGTGTGCCTAGTAACTTCAACAGTCAATATATCATGAAATAGTGACAATTTTTTAAATATAGTTTTTCATATATATATAATGTTGAAATGAAACAAAATAATACTATTATTAATTATTTCAGTATGAGAAAAGCAGGTCCCCTACAGTAAAGAAAACAACGATGACGTAGTTGTAGCATACACAAGTGGTATTCCGACTCTTCTCTAAAATAATACAATTTTTAAAACAATTTACTAAGGGCAAGCCAGTAGAAATGAAAAAATTATTGAAAGATTTATCAAGATAAAAATAAATTATTTCAGAGTGTTAAAATATCAAGTGAAAGATATGTTTTTATTTTTATTTTTAGGTTATTACAAAATTAATTAATGAATGATAAAATAATTTATATATTATTATTTTTATATGGCAACTGAATTTAAAAATTTATTTTTATTTTATTTTTTATAGGAAAATTAAAAAGATATGTATTATTTTAAATAAAATATAATTCAAAATAATTCACATTAATATGAAACTATACAGTGTATTGCATTCATATTTTGTGCGGTTTTATAATATGCTAATGAGAGAAGAATTTATACATGACAATTACAAATTATGATGTGAATTAAAAAATATTAATTAATTTTTTTATTTTTAAAATAAATATTAAAAAATTTATAATTAAAAATATTTAATTAAGTTTTAATTTTAAGATAAAATTCATTTTTTTTATTTTTATAAAAAATTCTTACATGTCTAATTTTATTATATACGAATAATAAAATAATGTATATATTAAATATTATTTTTTCTAAAAATTGTTTTATTTTAAAATATAAAAATATAAGAAAATATCAATCTTTTAAAAAATAAAAATAATTTACAATATACGAGATACTAGTATTTATATTGCAATTCTCATGATTTTATAATATGTGAATAACAGAATGATTTATACATTGTTATTATTATTTTTTTATTTAAAAAATAAAAATAATGTACTTAAAAATATTTTTGACCCATTTTAAAACATGATTAATAAAAGCATAAATTTTATATAATGACAAAAATAATAAAAGAAGGTAAAACTTATAGCTTAAGCAACATTCATTATTTTCGCTACAATTTCTATTGCTGTTCTAAATTTCTAATTCTTAAAATAATAGGAAACATCCAGTATATTATTTTAAAAAATACGATGGTGACCATAAAATGACTAATTAAGGTTTGCAAACTTCCTTTCGTCTTATCACAAAAAAAAATTTATAATATACTTTGCAACTGGTAAAACTATATTATCGTGGTTAAGTAAATAAGTTCTAAGCATGTTAATAAACTTAACACAAATAAAAAAAAAACATTACTACAAACATATCTTACAAAAGGAAAAAGGTTTCGAATGCTTTATAAATCAATCCAATCATTACAAAATAATTTAAGATACAAAATAGTGAGATATAAACTTATCTAATCAAAGATGCAAACGAGATTTATAAGTGCATGTACTACATATGCTCAATTACCCATTTTACATACAGCTAAATGTGGAAATAGTTTCAATTCTAGCAAGTTTATGGAAATTAGATGATTAATAATGCTAGCTATGTTTAAATTCCTCCACACACTTTTAGAAGCTTTGAGATAAATGTAGGTCCAAGATACCCCTTCTCCCACTTTTTTTTTTATAACTAATTTCAATTGTTTAATTCACTTAAGCTAAATTTCTTGGATTAATCTTGGTTTTCAAGATGCTATTTGATTGGACAACTTTTGTTTTATTGTTTTATTGAAGGAAACTTATGCAAATAAACATCATAGATAAAATAAAGGAAAAAATATTTATGCTTCTCAACAACAACAATGATGTAGTTAAGAGTCAAAATCAAATCTTGACAGCAGAGACAAACGCAAAAACTAAAATGCAAAAGCCATACACATCATATTGAAACAATAAATTAAGATGCAAGAAAAAAAATGCACAAGCCATACACATTATATTGAAACAATAAATATTGATAACTTACTAACCAAAAGAAATCGGAGAAATTTCTCAGTAACCAATAAAGGAAAATAGTGCAGTGGAGGGAAAAGAATCCAAACTTTTCATGAGTTTGAGCTTGAAATCTCAATTGGGAATGAACGAAGAACAAATCTCCCTACGGGCTATTGTTTATATAAAAATAGAATAGGATAAAATTGAGTGTATATATATTAAAAATACATCTTAGATATAAAAAATATTTAAAAATGTGTCATTTAACGGTGCAAAAAGATATTGTTGTTTTCTCAGTTGTATTGTGCAACATTTAAAATATTTACATGTGGCAAAAAGAAAATGAGTTAGGCTAGAATTGATTGCAAGAATGCAAGAGTTGTCATGTGTCACGATTTTGTGTTGCCAGTGATGAAAATAACTTAACATTAAACAATGCATTGCAGAAGCTATCACGTGTCAGGATGCTGAATATTGCACACCATGAAGTAGCTTAACATTCATCAAGTGTCACAGTCATGAGGGTTCCACTTTTTATCTTGCATCACTATGTTCAATGCTTGAAAATCTATTTCAAGCCCAAAACCAAGTCACAAATGTGGCACTACACAACTTATAATATAAATATATTAAAGCAACAAATGAAACCTACTAACTTTGTAACAAGATTATTACTACTAATTATCAATATTAAATAATTATTTTTAAATTTTCTAAAATATTATATAAGCCTCTAAATATTTGTTTCTTCAACGAACATTTAGAAAAACTTGAGTAGAACTTTAAATATATTATACTTGACTCTAAAAACTAAACAAGAGTAGTTTTCAAGGAACAATCTACCTATCCTTGAGAATATAAGTCCTTAAACAAAGACTCAAGTTGATTGGAATGACTTTTTGAAAGAGTGATAATGAGAAGAGGAATTTATGAGCTTGGAAACGAAAAAGAAAATGAAGATACTAGAGAGAGAAAGAGAGCTGTGAGTTTTTTTAGAGAGATGAATGTGAACAAGTGATAAAAATATCACATTCTCATCTCTTCCTATAAAATAATATTAAAAAAGCACTTGTATTGGCTAGATTCAAACTATCATTAACTATGTTTTTGCCTCCATCTCACCTAACATCTACTTAGATCACTTGCTATCTTTCTTCACTTTTTGGATTTTTTGTTTGAAATTTCGGTGTCGATTGTTTGCCCACTCCTATCTGATTCTCTAGTTAGAACTTTCTCTATTGAGCCAAGAACATTTTAATCACTTAGTAAAAAATTTCAAAAAAATAATTAAAATTCACTAAAAATTATAATATTAATACAATAAAAATCTATGACTATCATGTTGCCTAATATAATCTAGAGTTGTTTTATAAAAAAAAAAAAAATTAATAACAACATTAATTATTCTAATAAATTAAAAAATATGTTACAGTAAATTGAAATGTCCTAACTCTATAATAAGATTATTAGTATTAGTATTAACAATATTGCACAATTTAATTATTTTATTTTTTAAAATAAGTATTCTATAATGTTTAGCATGCACCACTTAATGTCTTAATCAATCAAATGATTGGCGCACTGATAAGTTTGCTTATTCAAGTGAAAACTTGCATTAACTTACTCCATTTAGGTATAGTTAAGTATTAATATATTTGTGACTCTCTTTAGTGTCTCTTATGAGGTGACCTTCCTTCCTAATAGATTTCAAGACTTTAAAAGTTCTCTTATTAGGCTTGGTCCCAAATTTTTTATTAATATAAATATTTTATTATTAGAAAAGAGAATGAGATACATGATTAATCTTTTCATCTATATTTCTTATTGAGTTAGTGAAACAGACCACTCAACCCATTTGGACTGGCCTATTATAGGCAGCAAACTTTAGCAAGTTGGATCAAAAGGGTTCAGATTTAATTTGAGCAAATGATGTGCAAGCTTAGAAAAACTCAAATTTAGGCTAATCCGATATTATACTTAACCAAATTAGGCTACAATAATTCAAATTTAAAGGCAAAGCACTACATGTTGTCAAGCGTGCTTATGGCAATCTCATTGGACAAACCCATTTTTCCGTCTTTATTATTTTACTTTCTTTACTTCTTGATGCATTCATCTTCATTCTCTACCTTTAATCCATTCTTTCTTTATCCTTCTTTCCTTTTTTTTGTCTTTAAACACAAGAGTTGAGAAAATCAACTTTTTTTATTTTTGTTTCAATAATTTGTTTTACTATTTTTAATTGCTAATAAGATCAAACCAATTGCGTCATAAGTGATTGTATGATTGCAAATTATCAAATTTGTAGAGAAAACTAAATTTAAGATTTTGTAGGATTAATCTTAATCTCAATTTCCTTATCAATTATTGAATTAACAGATTTATTATGTTCTAATGCTTTCCTAATCCTATAAGTTGCATAGTTGCATCATTACTGAAGATAGATTTTCCAAAAAAATAATAATAATAAAGATTGAATGAGAATTGAGTGTTGACAAATTTAGTTTAAGTATAAAGAAATTGGATAAAATAAGCATAAACAACAATACATGTGAAACCGAATGCATTAGGTTAGTTCATAATTTAATCTCATCCTGATGAGTTGACTGCTGTAGAATCTTCCTTCTCTCTTCTCTTTTTTTCCTCCCTTTTCTTTGCATTATTTATAAGCAACTCATCATATTTGTTTGCCTAAATAACTGGAAGTTAATAATCTTAACAGTTTCTGCGTAGTATTTGAGGACAACGTTTTAATGGTCGTAACTTGTTGATAGGAACATTTACCTGTTTGCGCAACATTTTCTCAAGGTATAGTTGCTTTATAGTTGAGTAGGTGTTCGTACATGTTTCTTCCAAGAGTACATTAACAGCTTGAACAAGGTATAAATTACCTAAGAGTGCACATTTAGAACAATATGAGAGGTATGAAGGAGATTGCATGTAATAGTTAAAAGCTTTATTACTGGATTATATGTACAAAATATATTCGAAATCCTCAAAATAACGTAATTCAAATGAATAATAAATCACCCAGGAAATAGCTTGATATAGTTTCTAATCTGTTCACGACATATAGGACATTTTGATAATTTTGATCCACAGTCTCTACAAGTCTGCAAGAGAATTCCATTATAGTTAGAATGTGCAATGCAAAATAATAATAATAATAATGTACTTGGAAGAGCTTACCATGTGTCCACATCCAAAGGCTAAGTCCTTTTCATTGGTCAAGCATATAGAACAGACCTACATTTCATATAAAATTATTTCAAGCTTAGAAATGGAGGATTAGAAGAGGTCAAGATAATCCTGCTACACACACAAGATTGATTATTTTTATCCTTGTCCTCTCTAATCCTGTAGCCAACTTCTAATCCATGGACATCATATATCCCATGATGATCTTATGCTATATACCAAACAAGAACATCCCTCAAAAGTATCCAACTTATTTTGGAATTTTGGATTAAATTAAGATGTTTGTGAAAACACCACCTTATATCTTATGTTTATGTTTCCTAGGCAAGTAAAAGATGTGAAGAAACACACATAATGCAAAGCCGAAAAGATATTCACCTTATCACAATTTGACAGTATGATTTTCCTCTGAAGATCACTGAGAGTTTCCTAATAGATCAAACCAAGAGTAAAAATTATAAGATCCAGAAAATTTTCACCTAAATGAGAAATATCCAGAACCATCAAACAGAACAATTGAGACATCAATAAGTACCTCAGCAAAAGCAGCTCTAGATTCAGCAGCTAAAACATCTCTACGAAAATTCTCTGTAAGTCTTCGGGCATGTTCATGTTCTTCTTTTAGTTTTTGTCTTACTTCTTCAATGTCTCTTTTGGCAATTTGTGCAGTCTCACGACTCTTGTCAGACTCCTCTGAAAGAAACTGAGCACGTTTATGCTGTTCTTGCAATTTTTTCTTCAGCATAACATTTTCACTCTTCATAAACAATAACCAATGAGCAATAACAATAATTAAATCTTAACAAATGCAAAGACATATAGCTTTCCTTCATCAGTGATGCAATTGGGGAAATAAAATAAAAAAAAACAATTTCAATATTAAAAATATAAACTGACCTCTAAATTTTGTATATGTTCTTCTAGCTTTCTCCTCTGTTCAATACTTTCTTGCACTGCATTCTGTGTGGCAATTAACTTAACATATATGTTCAACCAAAACAATGCACAATTATCAACTATTAGAAACTTAATAGTAAAATCCAAACCTGCAAGTGGTTTATCCTTTGATATAAACTATGAATCACGTTGGAAGCTTTCTTTTCAGCATTTGATATTGATTCTTTTCATTCTTCAACACAAAACAATGTAAAAAGGCAAAAGAAGAAAATGTTCTAAAATGCCATAATTGTAAGAAAAGCCTCAATTATTATGGGACATGCCACCTATTAATTACCTGATAGTTAGATTCATGTATATAAGAAAATAAAGTTATGTTTAGAGAAGTTTTTGCTTTTATGATTGACTAGCTACGTTATTAGATTAGAGATTGCTTTCTTATTATTTATTGAGTGCAAAAACACTCGATGAAATTAAAAAACAAAGAAGATAATTTAATCTTAATTAAGAAAAATTAAAATTATAAAAGTCACGTGTCTAAATAAAAAAAGTTAATTTTACCTATTTATGTAAAATTTTTATTTACAATCAGTCCTCTCACTCAATTTTGATTTTCTGTTGTGTAAATACAATTTATCAAGTTTTCCATTAACATAAAACTGTGCAGTATTTTGTTAATTAATATACATTAAAAATAATGTTATATATGCTTTTCAAAGATACAACAATTAAAATATTTTATTATATTCTTAATTTTTAATTAATTTTTACAAGATTTGTTACAAATAGTTTAAGGTGATAGAATAGTTAAAATATAACCTCTAAACTGATAAAAAAAAAAACAATTCTATAGAAATCATCGCTTAACTGTAGTTTTTTTTTTCTCTATATATATGCAATTTTAGTTCTCAAGTTTTTATTCAAGATAATTAACTTCCTCTAGTTTTAAAATTATAAAAATTTAGTGGAGCATTGATTCTTTTACTTAAAATCCTTAATTTTTTTAATTTTGGAAATTTATAAGAGAATTTGAACAATAAATTAATAATTTAAGTTTCAGCAGTAATAAATTTAGTGAAACTTGATAAAATAGAATAATTTTGTAAGATATGATAACAAAGTTTGGAGAGAGAACTTTGTGTATATATATAATTTGAGTCTTTTATTTAACTTAAATCTAATAGGTTATAATTTATTATTTCACTGACTGTTAAATATAAATTAAATAAAAAGTTTAGATTGAGTGTAAGAGTTTTTAAACTTATACTAGTATAAGAAGATCTTTTTTTTTATATATATATATTTGAGTAGAAAATAACTTAATTTAATTTTTTTAAGTAAGAAATGAGAATTGAATATTTTAGGTGAAAAAAAAAGGACGGAGTACTAAATCTGTCAAATTTCATGACATCAAATGTAGAACCTAAAAGTACATAAAAGAAACAAAAAGTAGTTTTCAAAATAACGCTGAATTTAAGTAAAAAAATAAAAACGTAAAGTCTTAAAATAATATAAAAAATTATTTATAGTAGAACTAATCAACCTAACTATCTAACAAAAACAGATTAACTAACTAAGTGATTAACTTTTAATAACTATTTCATTTATTTTAATTCGGTAACAAATTTGGTTAAAAATTTTGAGAGACTAAATTAATTTAAAATTTTTGAAAGAGTAAATTCATACATAATCTAATTTAGAGAGAACAAAAGTAAATATATTGTAAAATATTGTAATAAACTTTTAAGTTTACATCTATATAAATTATTTTTTCTAATAACAAATCTGTGTAAAGTAAACAAAGTTAATCTTAATCGTATAATTTTATATTATAATTGATATTCATGTACTTAATTAATTTTAAGTTTTCACACTATTAATGTATTTCATTGAGTATACCACTCTCTAATTCTAAACCTTTTCTTTCAACTTCATCATTTTCCTTATTCACTTTTACATTTCTTCTGCTGTAAATGTTTACAAAATCACATCAACTTGCGCAACATTCTAATAAAATATCATAATTTTTATAGTTTTTCATTTACTTTGTCTTTACAATAATTTGGGTGTGTCTATTGACACCTAAGTATGTCATTTCTATTGAAACGATATTTTTTTTCTTGTAACCATATTAATAATGGAAATATTTTACATAAGAAAAATTAGATAAAAGTGTGAATAAAGACATAAAAATAACAAAAAATTTGTTATAACATGACAAGGCATTGTTGATTAAGCTAGTTATGACTGGTCATTTAACATGCATATAAACAACATATGGACCTAATAAAGAAGAGCATTGACATTAAACACCGAAGTCATTATGATAGAAACCTCACCATTTGAGAGGTCTTGACAAGCTTGGAGGTTCCGTGATCATGAATTGGATTTGCCACAGTTTCTGATTCAACGCATTCATATATATGGCCTGCCCTCCAATGCCTAACTTGGCATTCCTTTGAGCTGTAAAAACAACAAAATATCCAAAAATATCTCAGGCCAATTTTCATGAAAATTATATGATTCTTTTACTTCACAACTTTCTTAATATCATTTTCATTACTGTATCATCTATATTTTTTTTTTCTCACTTAAGATGGATACATCACTTTGTAAGACACACTTCACTTTTAGCTAAAATTTATCAAATATTATAAAAAACATATCTATCTTATTCATACATTAATGTTTCTTTCTCGTACTCTTAGTTTTTAATAAATTTTAGTGACAATGGAAAGTGTTAGAAAGAATGTGTTGGGAACATTACTCCCATTTCATATATTTACTTCCTAAAGTACACCCAACCTTTTAATGAAACCAAATCTAAAACAAGAATGTTCTATCTGCATTATGTGACTCGGTTAAACATAGACATACCAATATCTAGCAGCCTTGCAGCGGGAGCACTTTTGGGTGCAAAAGTTTCCACAATAGGTGCAACCACCGAGTCTCCCAGCATCAAAATAATGGTGCACCTGTTGTCCAACCTCTTTAGAATTGAGACTAGTTTCTCTGTTCCGTGACCACTGATACAAGATCCATCCAATTCTGAATGCTAGAAACAATATGAACAATTGAAGCAAAGGCTGAGTGTTGCTGCTGTTATCAGAACCAGGTGCTCTTTTCTCCACAACAAAGCAACCTAAAAACACAATCCAGGTCCAACGATGATGTTGCCCCATAAACTAGCATCTGGGCAATCCCACCAAAGAAGCTTGTTGATAATGTGACAAAGGGAACCGTCTAATAAACTGCAGATTTTATGCTATTTTTTATTTAAAATAAAAGTCATGTGACTGATAGAATAAATTTGCTTTAGTCCTATCTTTCAGGAATGATTTGTTAGTAGTTTCTATTTATCAGCATTTCTGTTTTAGACTTGTTTTATATAATACCTTACTCTACATTTGAAATAAAGATGCTTTCTTAAGTTACATTTTTCTATTTGTCATCTTTTACCCTTTCCACTCTATATCCATCCATACAAATAAAAACAACAAAGCTAATATATCTATAAATTTATCACAAACTCTATTTATTGTACAGGACCAAAACAAATCAAAAGAGCTGTAAACTATATATATGATAAATGGTAGTTGGTAAGTATTGGTGAAATTGTAATTACGTAGAAGAAACAGAATGAACAGGTCAAGTGAGATAATGAACAATAGATTAAATATGTGTGAACATTTTCTTAGGAGAAAGCTAAATTATGTTTGAATTTGAGGTGGGGGCACCACAGACCAAATCCAATTTGTTTTTTGAAAGAATAATGTTAATCATATATCTCCTGTTTAAGTTGTATAAGCTGGAAAGCAAAAAGCAAAAAAAAAAAGAAAAAGATAAAAAGTAAAAATAATATAAGAGAAAGTAAAAAAAAAAAATGTATACACAATATATGATTAAAAAAGATAATAAAAAAAATAGATTGAAAAAAAAATAAAAGTATTGTAGAAACATATGAATATAATTTTTATTTCTTTTAACTTGGTTTGGAGGCTGGTGAAGAAAATGAGAGAACAAGTATTCAAACAAGAATAGCTCAGGTCGTTGACCTTGACTCTGAAATTACATATTTACAGCAGTTGTCTGTCATGTACAATTTCTTGGCAAAGTCTTCTTTTTCTGACAGATCTAAAGGTTTGGAAGAACTATGCCTAATGCGATTGGTTCACAAGATAATAATGGGTAAAGTTTAAACATGGTATTATCATAATTTTACATTTAAATTAAAAAATATCAATAACCAAATTTATATTTGCAAGGATAATAATATAATATTTTTATTTTTATGTGTTGAGCAATTATATATCTATATTTGAATTCATTTTTATGTATTTTAATTAATTTTAATATAGTCTATTGATGATTCTTTTTTTGAATATTTTTTGACAAACTAAAGAAAACATGAATATTGTTATAATATTAATATTAATGATGAAAAATATTAAAAAGAGAGTTAATTAAAAATAAAATACATAACTTGAATGAAGAAAATATTTAAAGATAAATTTAATCCCTATTTGTAAAGCATTATAAAAAATTTAATTTAATTAAAATTAATTTAAAAAATTTTAAATTTTAAATATAAAATATAATAGATATTTGGAGAGGACCAAATTATATTAGTGTTAATTACACTCATTCTTATATCATAAATTACTTTATGTAAAATAAATTTTTTTTGTCTATCACAACGTTGAATTAAAACTACATATTACGTTATCTGTATCAACTTTTTTCAAAATTAAACAACTATAAAAATTCAATCAAAATGACCTTATTTTATAGTAATATAGTACCCTTTGTAAATTTGTATATATTTACTCGTACTAAAACTTAATTTCATTTGAAAGTTAAATATCCTACCCTTTGAAATTAAGAAAAAACGCATTTTAATTTTTAAAATTATAAGCGTTAAAAACTATAATCTTAATTTTATATATTTTTTTACTTTAATTCCTAAATTTTAGAAACATTATTCACTTTAATATTTTTTGTTAAAAAGATGGTTAAAAATTAAATTAAATAGATTGAAACAAATGATTTTTATAAAAAGACTAAAATAAAATTTTATAAAGTTAGAGAAATAAATTTACTAATGTTTACAAAAAGAATAAAAAAGATCATGAAATATTGATCAGAAAAAACTAGGTTCACTCCACAACACAAAAGCATGTCCACTCCTTGACTTTACATCGACATTTTTACCATCTTTTTAGGCTCAATAACCTAACTATGTTCTATT